CTGACCGCTTTTGATGAGGTCCTCGACATCCACTTGAATAGACCAGTAATAGATTATGAACAGCAACTTCGACGACGGGATATCAAACTTGGGGCCCGAGAAGATGGGCGGCCTATCGATCACACGCGAAGCGTTGCATCTGTTTTAGCGGTTTAATTGGTATTCCGTTTAATTAAAAAGCCATTCATTTCATTATTTCAAACATTAGTCAATGAATACAAACTTTGAGAAATTGCAGTTCCAGTACTCGTATTTAGTGCTCTGTGTTTTGTTCACTTGATTACAGATGCCTTTATTACAGGACTGGCATTTGGGCGGTACTATCAGGTGTGCGGTTACCATCCATGCGATCGGAGACTCTTTGAATTTCTCTTTCATTAAAGCGTTATCTAAATTACAAATTCATTGTCAATATTAGCGCTTTTGGAGACAAATTATAAAACAATTCGTTTAATACCGAGTTTTATAAGAGAAGCGATGAGATCGTCGATAGCCGACGGCCACGAGAAGGGCAACGGCTTTATTGTGAGAATTGTTCTCATATTGATCTTCTTCGTGGGCTGAGTCGTCAATATAGTCATGCACTCCAATAATGTACTGATCGTTAATCTGCTATTTGTTTGAATATATGTGGGAGTGTTTGGCAAACCCATAGGATATTGAGTAATTAACACTTGACGGGGACCGGGAGTCCTGTATCCCGTATTTGGAGCGGGAGTTCTATAACCAACATTTGGAGTCAAAGTGCGGTAACCAGTATTGGCCGCTGGGCTTCGAAAGCCCGTATTGGGAGTGCGGGAAACGGCGGGAGACCTAAAGGCCGTCGGCTGCGGAGCGCTGGGAGCGGGCGTGCGATACGCTGTGGGCGGGCGACCGGCTCTATACATTGGTTGCATTGGCGCACGTATTCTCTGCGGTCGAACCACTGAATAGGTGTTTCGCACCTGAGGTATGAACTGAGGTCTCGACTGATTGAACAATTGAATGGTTTGATTGGTATGCGTTGTGATGTAGTTCTGGGTATTGGATGAATAGATAGTGGAGGCGGGTATGAGAAAAGTGGGCTGATTGGAGCCCTGGCCCGGCGTTAGAATCACTTGCATTCCGTTCTGCAAAAGACTGGTTCCCATTAGATTGGAGGCCATCGGCGCTATGATTAACGGCTGTGTCGTTCCCATCGATGTCGACGGCACTAATGTTATGGGATGTGAGGTAACCA